TGAGCTAAGTTAATTTGGTAGGCAAATAATTGAGTGAATATCTCATGCTTAATGGCTCAGTGCTCTTGCTAAGTGGCATCTCTGTCCCACAGCAGGGCCCTGGAGGGTAGAGTCTCAGGTGTTTGCCTAGGTGTCCCAAAGGGGTAACTGTGCCTGCAGCAGGCACACAAGACCCTTCTCAGAAGGACACCAGAGAGCACGGCATCGGATCCGGCTGTGACCCAGAGGGGCCTCTGACATGCTGGACCTGGAAGAGCTGCTAGCTCTTTAAGTCACCAGAACTGTCAACGGATGGTCCTAGGCACCAATTCAAACCCTAACAGGAATCCCCCATTGGGGATGCAGTGAAGAAGGAAACAGCTCAGTGGTGGTACAGCAAGGCTGTGACAATGCCACCACCTTGGCACAGTTCACCTGCTGCCTCAGCACTGCTGTGAGGCAGCCTTGGGTCAGATGCTCTTCAGCAAGGCAGCTCTGCCTGCTCCCTGGCCTGCAGTCTTCCAGAGAAAGGGAAGGTGCACTCCTCGTGCTATTTTTAAACATTGTGTTCCCAATATGTAACTAGGGAAAAAGTTAATAATCTCCGATTAGTAACTTGGTTCCAAGATACCTCAAAACACCAGTTTTGAGACTATAAACTATATGAAATTATGTGTACTCATTTAACTATGTGAGATTTTTCACAGAGGGTTTTTATATTAAGTGATTAAGAAGTTTTATGCTATTTATTTATAAAACTAGAGGCCCAGTGCATGGATTTGTGAACCAGTGGGGTCCCTCAGCCTGGCCTGCACCCACTTGCAATCCAGGACCCAGTGAGGGATGTCGTACTGTGGGGATCGGGCCGAAACTGGCAGTCCGACATCCCCCAAAGGATGCAGTAGTGCACAAAGCGGCAGGAGGCCGAGGAGCTGGAGCCCGGGCCAGGCACCACTCCCACTCAGCCTGGCCCTGCTGCACCTGATGCAGCTGCTGCTCAGTAGCGCTGCTGTGGAGGTGGGAGAGTCTCATGCCACCGCAGCTGCACTTGCCAGTTGTGAGCCTGGTGTCTGGCGCCCATTGGTCAGCTGAGCGGCACTCCCACTGTGGGAGCACACTGACCACCAGAGGGCAGCTCCTGCATTGAGCGTCTGGCCCCTGGTGGTCAGTGGGTGTCATAGCGACCAGTCAACTGGTCATTTGGTCGCTTAAGCTATTATATATAGATGATTTCTAAATTTTAAGGATGTGACCCCATCCGGAAATAGAATTGTTCCATGTTTAAAATAACAAGTAATCATTTGATAAAATAATCAGGGAAACAACTTCATACAATGGAAATGAACAAATCTGAAGACAGAGCAAGAATCTTGTTTCTATTATTAAAGAAAGCATCGTTCCTCTGCTTCACTGTAATCCATAACAATTTTAATGCATTTCAGTATTTCCTTGTTTATATTACTTACTTTATATATTTTACTTTTACTCTAGTTATTTCCAGCCTGATCACTAAGCTAAATTATACCTGGACTGTGTTTTTGTACCCATGTTTGTTGTTAGTATCTCTGCTTTATTTTCTTTGGATGATTTAGTCTTTTATATAATTGATAGAGTAACAGGTTCCCCTTTTAGCACCCAATGGCATAATCATCACTAGCATTATCATTTATATTTGAATTCTATTATAAATAAATTGTTTTCATTGCAATATTTAATCATCTTATGATAATAACAGACATACAAACTTGTTATAATCTATATATTTAGGGAGTTTAAAATATTAAATTATGTTATTTTGAGACTATGCATGTTGAAAAGATCCATTCACTTAGTATCTGTTAAACTTTTTGTCCACAGTGAGAATAATATAAATTACTAAGGATTAAATGCAAAAACACACTTGAAACAGTGATAAAATATTCCAAATAACAAATTTAAAGAGAAATTTAATAATTATAATAATTAAATGTAGCAAGAGGGAAGTTACTCAATTTTTGATAGCTTTATTTAATGTGGAAATGATGTTTCCATGTTCCCTTTGTACACCATCTACATGTATGTAAATTATATTTTATTCCATGCTTAAGATTTTGTTTTGAAAACTCAGAATGAAATTGAGTAATTGGATATTAATAATATGATTATTTTGATAAATTTAACTTAAAAGATAGACATTTGTTTATGTGAACTGCTTTTATTGCAGTACCGATCTAGTATATCAGATCTTACTGCATATCATTACTAGCGATTATCAACTTTTGTTGATTTTTAAAAAATTGAATCAGTTTAGTGATTAAATGCCTGACAAATCACAGAGTAACTGAACACTCTCCCATTCAGCATGACTTTGCAGGATAAGCTCTGATTTATCAGCTACCACTGAGTCAAATGGTCCTTCTCAGAATAGAGGTGCAGAGCCCTCCCCTCACTATTTTATACCTTCTTAGTGGACATACTGAAAACTGCTGAGTCAGTAGTTTTCTTAAAATTGTTATTGAGAACACGCTGTATACATGTTCTGAAATGGAATGGAAAAAATCAAATCATAGTGTAAGTTCTATAAAGGTATACATTACATAAAGTCAATCTTTAGAGCATGTGACTATCTGTAAATATTAAGGGCTTTTGCAGCCTGCGGGAACTGTGAATCCGTGGGATAACATCATGTGAATGCAAAATGAGGGCTGCAAATGAAATGCCACAAGTTTAAAGGAATTATATTAGCCTAGTGAAGCTTCATCATTATTTTTATTTCTACTTTGCACTGCACATTTTTCTCTTCTCTATAAGAGAAAAGAAAATTAAATGAATGTGATTAGGAAAATAATAAAATTTATAAGCATGTACAATATCTAGAATTAACTTACCATTTAATTCTGTCCATTAAAATGATCTTATTCTGGTTGGAATAAGTCATTCTTATTTTAAATCCGTGTTGGATATTTAAGGGCAGTTTTACATTAGTAATATTAAAGAGAAGGGGCTAGAAAATAAAGGTTCACAGAAGTTCACTAAGACAACAACAACAAAAATCTAGAAAATATTGGCAATAGGAAATCAAAGCCATTTTTCCCCATTTCTTTGTTTCCTTCTTTTTAAATTACTTTACTATTTCCTCCTACAATTGTAGTTATAGAGAGTATGCAGAAGCACGAAGACATCTAAGACACAGAAACAAATAAATAATAAATATGGACTTAGAAATAAATAAATGAGATATATCATAAAGATATCTATACATTAACCATGAATAAGCAAATGTTCACTCAGTAGAACATTTTAACATCAACTCTAAGTGCCTAGAGAAAGACTGCATTCTTTAGCTAAAAGACAGTTTTCAGTGGCTATAGGTGGCCATGACTATATTTTGGGATGAAAGTAGTCATTTTGACCTTTTAAGTTCATCTAGACATAAAAGGGCCTCTTCCACCCTGTAGAGTGATGCCAATACCATAAAAAGAAAATAAAACACAAAACTAAGAGGCCATGTAGTCACAAATTTCCATTTTCAACATTTATATACTTTATACACACACAAAGTCAACTAGTTTGTCACATGAGAGATTTGTATGTTTGTAGAAACAGACTAAAGAAAGGGTCATAAACAGCTTACTAGTACATCACACAATCCCTGCAGATTGTTGGCATTAATAGGCATGGGGATTAATGAAGAAAAGAGTACATACATTTATGAAGAAGGCATTTTATAGTGAAATGAAGTAGAACATAGAAAAAAAAACATTGTATTTTCTCTTTCAATTTATATTGCAGATTAACTGGGACCACTTAAGAAATAAGCAAATTCTTTTTCAATCTATTTCATTATTTTTAGATTACTCAGTAATATTTCATTTAATTAAGTTGTGTGTTTTTATTTAATGGGTATTATGTTGCAGATTTTCAACATAAAATCCTGGATACATCTGTCTATCCTTTTAAAACCTAGGTTTGGATAGATACAATTGATAGTGATTTCCTCACTGCTTTAATATTTTCTTTGTAGTCTCATATTTGATTTATGAATGTGTCTGTGTGCATTAGAAATTAACTTTCACATCATGAGTCAGTGTAATCTTATTCCTGTGTGTGTTTATATCCTTTTTCTTTTCAAACTATGAAATTTGTCATTAAGCCACAACCAACCTGTGAAATCTGTCATTCCCTGTCTGTAATTTATAGCAAAAGACTTCATGATCAGTTAGCTCTGTACTTAAACATGCAATCAATACGATGACTGGTCACAGTATAAATTAAGAATCTTAAAAAAAATACTTGATTTCAATGTAATGTCCATTACTTTAGGGTAAATACACATCAATATGTGATTAATATACTTATTGAGATTTAACTATCAAGTTAATAATAAAAATGTCCTGCAATATTGCTATTTTTCTACTTTTCCCTATAGTTATAATGTTTCAATAAATGCCTCTTATAACAAACCTATGATGTTACAAAGTTAAATTGAATTGGGAAGTTGTTTTCAGATTAGCAGGAGTAATATTTTAATTTTTTCAAAATGATTAAAATTTGGCATTATGGTACAACATCTTAAATCTACTGACCTCTATTGTAAACCTAACATAACTCACTAATTGGTTATTTTTTCAGTTCTGCAGTTGAATGATTTATAAAGTGTGCAAATGTTACTCATAGGATTAGAGTATTATAGTTCCAATTTCCATTATTAATAGTAGTATCAATAAATAAATTTAAAATTAAAATGTGAAAACACTTTGCAATTCTTATTTTCAAGGAAATGGGATTTGAAACCCAGGCACTATAATTAACTGAATATGTCAAGTTTTGCATTATATGTAAATTAATGAAAATAATATAGAAGAGTGCTAACTATGGCTATGAGCTTAGTTAGTAATCACTAAATGGTAATTGTTGTTGCAATTATAATATTATTTCCTGCAACAAATGAGAAATATTTCCCCTAAACTACATAAAATAAGAAATATTTTAAGTCAATTTGGTCTTGTAATATTACCAATATATACATGTATAAGTTCCTGAAGTGCAGCATGTGACTCAACCTTGATCTCTTTGCTAGACTTGTGAGATTTTCCATGAGTATGCAGCTCCTAATCTATGATCAAGTCAAGTAGTCTTTCCACTTTTCCTTTTGGCCCTGGCTAATCATGAATGGTTAGGATTCAAATCTATTTCTTCTCCCTAGAGCAGTTAATTTTGGCCATGGTAGCTTCAAACTAAGGCCCTTCTCTTCACTTCGAACCTTTGCCTCCAGTCCCACCTTATCTTAGACAATTGTTGGCTTCACCCAAATGCAACTGCCACATCCACCTGCTCCCCAACTAAATGCATCTTATTCTGAATCCAAGGCTCCCATTTTTGTCTTCCAATTGCATTATCAAATTTATCCATTCTATAACGAAGATAGCTAACTGGCCTTGCGATTTATCTCATCAGATCTTTTGTCCATACCAGAACGCCCTTTTTTCTTATTAATCTAATACTCATCTTCCAAGGTATACTTCAGGGATGGCCATTCTATGAAAGCCTCCTCAACCTTTCACTCTCCTACAGATTTGCTTTCTTCTTGGTTGTTCAGGACCACTTTTTAAACTACTGCTACATGTTTAGAAATTTATTAGAGCTAGTTTACAGGCCTTTTTCTCCACTTTCTTTTAATGCATCTTGAGGCAGGGATGACCTTTACCTGTTTAAGTATTTCTTATTACATTATATTATAAGGTAGGAACTCAATTAGTCCTAGGTAAATTAAAAGCTTTTATTATTTTTTGTGTGTTGTGCTGAGGTCTGTTATTAATAAACTAGAGGCCCAGTGCATGGACTCATGCACATTGAAAATAAATTAGAAGGTAGCTGGTGGGGCGGGACTGGGCAAGATGGGCCAGACACGCCCTGGAGCCAACCTCCCACGGTCCCTACCCAGCTGGCCACACCTAGGGTGGCACTGGGGCTCAAAGAGCGTTGCAGAGTGAGCAGGGTCCCTCCAGCAGGAGGAGTCCCTCGGCCTGGCCTGCTGAGGTCGGGCTGAAACTGGCAGTCCGACATCCCTCAAGGGGGCCCAGAGTGCAAGAGGGCACTCTGCAAAGTTCCTGTCACTCGGCAGCTCCTGCATTGAGCGTCTGCCCCCCTGGTGGTCAGTGTGCATCATAGCTACCAGTTGGAACGTCTTCCCCATGGTGGTCATTGCACAACATAGCTACTGGCCAGTCGGCTGGTCAGCCAGTCGCTTAGCCTTTTATATATATAGATTATTGGCAGTGTTCTGAAAGGTTGTCAAAAATGATTTTACAGGTAATGGAGACATATTAGTAATGTCATTAGAATCATTATCATGATCAGTAAGACAAAGATATGTTTTCACTGAAAAAAAAAGAAATGTGTTACCTATGACAAAGCAATGGGCAAACTTCTAATATTTTACCAAAGCAAACCATTTTTGCTATAGTCAACCATGAAATGCATGTTAATAAGAAAAATGCATATTTTCTTAATCCCTTGATATCACTCTTTTTGATTACTTATAAACCTTCACACCTCTTTTCTTTACATTCAATTAGTTTTCATCTGCCAGCAAATAAACCTTCAGATTTATATGGTCAGCAGTATCTGATAATACCTAAGTGAGTAATGGTTACCACCAATTTTTCTATACTCCTGTCTTGTTACACATTTCTCTGCTATCCAGAGAAATGAGTACATAACTATATTTCAAGTTTTAAGACTCATGAGGATGTGTGACACACATAAAAATAAAATAAAATAGTCTCTATTAAATGACTCTACTGAAAATCAAACACAAACTTAGTCATAATCATGTTGAAAGCATTTTAAAACTTTCATTATATTGGTATTTTTAGTATCTCACCTTAAAAATCATGTTATAAATTTAAAAAATAATTTTCGGTTTACTTCATACATTTATTATGGGTTGCCCTAACAAAGTGGTTAAGAGCACAATCAATGGAGTGATGCTATTTGAGTTTAATCTCAAATCTATTTCTTTCCAGCTGTGTGACCTTGATGATGATTCTTCAATATTCTTGTGCCTCAGATTCCATCACATATTGCATGATTTAATCAATACATGTAAACCAATTGTAAGAGTGCTTGGTATATTGCAAGTATCAAAAACATTCACTCATTAACCTGCTTTGCTTTTATTTTAATCAACTGCCTTATCTTCATTAATATAATCTCTTTAATGTAAACTTCTATGACATCATTGATTGTTCCAAAGATTAACTTTTAAAAAATAAACTGCTAAAAGAAAAAAATATTGATTATATATAAGCATACGTATTAAATACACTTATTTTGAATTCAAATAACTACAAAATAGGAACCACTTAAACTTTTGTATTTAAAGATCTTGTACAAAAAGATTGTTGAAGATAGCTTTTATTTAGTCTTTTAAGGCCCATTTGTGCTAGAGATAAATACACACAGACATCTACAAAGTAGATGGATCACTTTGGTCCATTAGAAAGTCCTGCTTTGAGTTCTGCTTAAGACAATCAGTAGTTTTTAAATAATATATACATGTTACCTCTAACATAGTGGAGGAATTAAATCAGATATTTAAGATTAAATGTATCTTGGAAATACATGGCAAACATTATTCAGCTAATGTATGTTGATTCATTCTGGTGCTTCTTACATGCACTAGTCCCTTGTAACAAAGAAAAAAAAATCCATTTTTTCTCTAGGATTGATGCTTCTATTATTTTTAATATCATTCTAAAAATAAAACTCCACTACAATTACTGTATTTTAAAAATTAGAAAAATATAATTATTCATTTAGAACCTCAGTTTGTACCTGCACTGCTCACTAAACATTAAAAACAAAACAATAGAACAATGCTTTAGAGGTGTAGACAAAATCTCCAAGTTGACTTGATTATAAAATATGTTTATGTATCCTCCCATCCTTTTTTCAAAGCGAGTTATTTTGACTTTATAAGCAATTGGGCAAAAAATGTTAGTATTCAAATTTGGGGCTTTTGGCTCAATCAGTTGACACTTATTCTTGAGAAACCACCACCCCGCCGGAACCCATCACTGTGCCAACTTCTACCAGAACGAGAATCCTCACCAGTAACACTACAGTGTCAGCTAAAGCTATAAAATGAGCTGGTTTGTTTAGAGAGTAGAATAACTTTAACTTTGAATGTGTTTTCAGCACATTGTTAGCAATAGACAGAAACTCTGAGAATAGGGAGTTATTTTTCATTTGGCAACTGTATCCATAGCAAGAATACAGCAGGCACAAAATTTGTTCATTTTTGAATGTGAACATTTGCCACTACTCCGAAATTTCTGGAAGTGATTATACATCACTGACTCTACTTGATGGAGGATCTTTCTATCCTAATTGATTCTATACCCTTTTAAACAACCTGTTGTTTAATATTTCAAACAAGGAACAAAAGGAGCTTCCATGTCTTTCTACATATTTGGTAAAAGAACTATTGATGGACTGTGTTTATAATTCTACTATGAGAGCAACATATTGCTCTAGGGCTACCTATATGTTTTTCCATTATATAGCTTACTATTTGTTTTCAAATAATATAAAATATTAGTTTATTTAATTATGAATAGGTCAAAAGTATTTTGGTCATTGTTTAAAAATTATTTTTATTGATTGATTTGAGAGAGAGAGGTCAGGGAGAGAGAGAGAGTGAAACATTGATCTGTTGTTCCACCTATTTATGCATTCATTGATTGCTCCTTGTATGTGCCCTGATCAGAAATCAAACCTGCAACATTGGTGTATCAAGACAACCAATTGAGCTACCCAGCCAGGGCAGTCATTATTTTTAAAATATATTTTTTCTCTCATTTTTCAGAGTCTTATTAGGTAAATAAACGTAACCCAAAATACTAAGAGTTATTGCCTCAATCTATCATGTACTATTCTTTCTGCTTTCAGAACAGAACAAAGTATGACATTTTAACTAAAGAAGTTAGATGTAATATTTTTTATTCAGCATATATTTAATAATATTTATTGAGCACTTCTATGGATTAGCTGGATGTATTTTATTTCTCCAATGCCTCTCAGACTATAGAAATTTAGAGAGTTGGTATTTTATGAAACGCATATTAGGGAATCATCCATTACTCTGATGCAAATCTAGAGCAATTTCTCTATTTGGTAAGCAAGGAATAGGCCTTCTTACACAAGTTTGTCACAAACGGGGCATTCTGCTAGAGCAGGGGTGGGCAAACTTTTTGACTCAAGGGCCACAATGGGTTCTTAAACTGGACCGAAGGGCCGGAACAAAAGCATGGATGGAGTGTTTGTGTGAACTAATATAAATTCAAAGTAAACATCATTACATAAAAGGATACGGTCTTTTTTTTTTTTTAGTTTTATTCATTTCAAACGGGCCTGATCCGGCCCGAGGGCCATAGTTTGCCCACGGCTGTGCTAGAGTGTAGATGGAAAGTAGAGGCTGAGAGAAAGAGAGAACTGTAAAAGCATGGTGGAAATTTGGAAACACAGTATCAATGAAAACAACAGAGATGGATACCTAGAGCTAAGTTAAATAAATCAGACAGAGAAACACAGGTGGTTACCAGAGAGGGGAGACTTGGAGGTGGGGAGTAGGAGAAATAGGTAAAGGTGTTTAAGAGATACAAACTTTCAGTTATATGTCATGGGGATGTAGTGTACAGCATCTAATCTAATAAAAGAGAAACATGCAAATTGACTGCACCTCCGCTATGCCCCAAGCCATGCCCACAAGCCAATCAGAGCAACTATATGCAAATTAACTGAACCAAGAGGGCAGCCGGCAGCCACGGAATTGGAGCAAGCCAGAGGCTTGGTTGCCCTGGTGATGGAGGAAGCCAAGCTTCCCGCTTGCCCTGGCTGGCTGTGGCCTCCGCTAAAGGCAACAAAGTTTCAATTATAGAAGATAAATAAATCCCAGATACCTGCTTCCAGCCAGCCTCCACTGGGAGCTTGGGTGGCTGGGGGCCTTGGCCAGCCTGCAAACAGCCATCAGCCCCTCACCCAGGCTGGGTACAACCTCATGGGGTGAGGGTCCCCGCTGGGGGGCTTGGCCAGCCTGCAAACAACCATCAGCCCCTCACCCAGGCTGGGTACAACCTCATGGGGTGAGGGTCCCCGCTGGGGGGCTTGGCCAGCCTGCAAACAACCATCAGCCCCTCACCCAGGCTGGGTACAACCTCATGGGGTGAGGGTCCCCGCTGGGGGGCTTGGCCAGCCTGCAAACAACCATCAGCCCCTCACCCAGGCTGGGTACAACCTCATGGGGTGAGGGTCCCCGCTGGGGGGCTTGGCCAGCCTGCAAACAACCATCAGCCCCTCACCCAGGCTGGGTACAACCTCATGGGGTGAGGGTCCCCGCTGGGGGGCTTGGCCAGCCTGCAAACAACCATCAGCCCCTCACCCAGGCTGGGTACAACCTCATGGGGGTGAGGGTCCCCGCTGGGGGGCTTGGCCAGCCTGCAAACAACCATCAGCCCCTCACCCAGGCTGGGTACAACCTCATGGGGGTGAGGGTCCCCGCTGGGGGGCTTGGCCAGCCTGCAAACAGCCATCAGCCCTTCACCCAGACTGGCCAGGCACCACAGCAGGACCCCCCACCCTGAAGGGGGTGTGGCCAGCCTGCAAACAGCCATCAGCCCCTCACCCAAGCTGGCCAGGCACTCCAGTGGGGACCCCCACTCTGAAGGGGGTGTGGCCAGTCTGAAAACGGCTCAGCCCTCACCCAGGCTGGCCAGGTACCCCAGCAGGACTCCCACCCTGATCCGTGACACCCTTCAGGGCAAACCAGCCGGCCCCCACCCATGCACCAGGCCTCTATCCTATATAATAAAAGGGTAATATGCAAATTGACCCTAACAGCAGAAGGAATGGGAATGACTGGTCACTATGACACGCACTGACCACCAGGAGGCAGACGCCCAAAGCAGGAGCTGCCCTCTGGTGGTCAATGTGCTCCCACAGGGGGAGCTCTGCTCAGCCACAAGCCAGACTGACAGGTGCCAGTACACCAGTGCTAAGGATGTCCGACTGCAGCTTAGGCCTGCTCCCCATAGGCAAGTGGACATCCCCTGAGGGCTCCTGGGCTGCCAGAGGGATGTCTGACTGCCAGCTTAGGCCTGGTCCCCTGGGGAGGGGGCCTAAGCAAGCAGGTGGTCAACCCCCGAGGGTTTCCAGACTTCGAGAGGGCACAGGCTGGGCTGAGGGATCCCCCCGAGTGCACAAATTTTGTGCACTGGGCCTCCTGTAGGGAATATAGTTGATAATACTGTAATGACTTTGTATGGTGGCAGTTGGTAACTAGACTTATAGCCGTGACCATTTTGCAATATATATATTGTCATATATATATAATGATGGATACCTGAAACTAATAGAATATTGTATGCCAATTATACTTCAATAAAAAATAAAAGAAGCATATGAATATGCTAAATAATAATTTGGAAAAATAGACATGAAAATATAGAATTGATTTAACTTCAGTTTTACTTATTTTCAAACTCAGGCATGCTGAGAGAAGTTAAAGCAAACCAAGAAAGCTTTAAAGTACATTCCTCTCTTGATATTTTTCCCTCTCTTTTGGGATTTTTTTGTTTACTATATTATTACTTACTCTAAAGTTACTTCAAATTAAATTTAACTAGTAACAACACAACAGGACAAGAGAAATCTTTGTGATAACCTAGAGCATCAGTTATCCTAAAGATACTCTACAGTGTATAATTAGTTTGGTCAGCATAAAAGAATCCTCAAAGATTCTTAAATAAGCACCTACAACTGAATTACATTTACTTTTTATGCTGGCATAGCTGGTATGTTTGGATTCATTAGCCCATGTATTTTGCAATGCCATTTATTGGTGTCTGTCCTGAATTAACAAAATCTAGCCTTTCTAATTGCCTTATTTTTTACTACTGAAGTTTTAAAAGCCAGTCAATATTGTCCTTAATGTGTCCCACATAGTTTAAATAAATAAAATGCAAACAAATTAAAACCTTTTTATTCTGGTTATTCAGTATAATATCACTGAATTCAGAAATTCAGAGCTTACAGTGTGATGGTATATGATAAATCTAGCCGAAAGTGACTTAATGAATAGGTGGTCTTATTCAAGAGAATTTCCTTTCAAGTCTGATATATTTATTGAAAATATAATACTTTGTAACATGGGTATACAGTTTTTTTAAAAAATATAAATATTATTTTTTAAAATAAGGTTTTATCAGACAATTGGTGGCAAACAAAAACTTTGAACTAAAATTGGTTGGTTAACATATGAACAGAATCATTACATGCCACATAGTTTAAAAATAGAATAGACCATTGAAATATTAGGTAGTGGTAGAAAACTTTACCTGTAGTGGCTAGAATAACTGCATTGTATGTCACTTAAACAATTTAATTATATTTTTATGAATTGAGAGGATTCATTTCAAATAAATGTATAGTTTCTTCAGTTTTGTTAACTTTCCTGTCTAAATTTTATAAGGATCTACTTAATCTTTCACCACCTTTGACTTTACTTGTGATACTTGCTTAGTTAATTCTATTTTCTCCTTCCCACACCCTCATGATCAAATCACCCATTTCCATAGTGTGTTCATGAACACACAAAAATTCCTTAGCTTACTATGTGACACTTTAATTATAGATTTTATGTATTTATTCATTTATGAAAATGGAATTTCACTTTTTCATTCTTTGTTGTCATAAATATTCACCCCTATAAAGAAATTGCTCACCAATGTCCCTTTAATCATCAAATATTAATCACCCATCATTTTATATATCTCTTGAAAAACTTCCTCCATTTAAAAAATCTTAAGGCCTTGGGTAAGCTATCTAATTTCTCTGATTATCAATGATTTTACTTGTAAAAATGTTAATACCTGATTTTTAGAGATGTTGAACAAATAACTAAAACAATATGTGTAAAGTAGCTTCTGCTATCAGCTTTCTTATTGACTGCTCCATCTTTAATCTCTCTCCTATTCAGTCACCGAAATTTCTCATTGTTAAAATTTTAAAAATACCATTTCCACACTCAAATCTCTTTAATATTCTCAACTTCCAATTGCATATTCAATCTTGTTTTCTAATTTATATATACACTATTTCCCAAAGATACTCAATAAAACCATGATGTTTCATATTTCCTTCAATTTGCATCTGATACCTTGTACCTGGTTGAAATCAGTTCTTTCACTTTATCTCTTTCTACATACTCCTACATTAAGGTATAGCTCAGCTATGGACTCTTTCTTAAAGTCTTTATTGACCAACACAGTAAGAAATGAGTATCCCCATCCTCTGATTGCCTGTAGCACCCTACAATACTCTCAAGAGACTTTGCCCGAATCTGCTTCATATTGAAGATATACTAATCTCCTTCAGACTTTGTTTATTTTTATGTCTCATATTATTTAAGACACTGGCTAGAAGTAGGTGCCCCAAAATATTATAAACTATACAAACCTCTACTACACATGGATATCCGCTATGAAACAACTCTGATTGCCTGTAGCACCCTACAATACTCTCAAGAGACTTTGCCCGAATCTGCTTCATATTGAAGATATACTAATCTCCTTCAGACTTTGTTTATTTTTATGTCTCATATTATTTAAGACACTGGCTAGAAATAGGTGCCCCAAAATATTATAAACTATACAAACCTCTACTACACATGGATATCAGCTATGAAACCAGTATATTATATTAGTTTTAATTTATGTATTTATTATGTAAGAAAACTGAAAGTTTAATTCTGTTAAGTCACAGAGTTCAGTGTCATACTTGTCCACAAAATTTTAATAAATGTCTCAACATTCCAATATACATATGTATTTATCCTATATTACTTCAAAAGTGGGATACATTAAATTCATAATTCTATAAAAATTAAGCTGTGGGCTCTAGAATTTTTTTATGAATACATTAGCTTCCAGTCATTGAGAAATGGGAAATGTAAAGACAGGAAGCCAGTGTGACATAGAGAATTCTAGCATAGGGAAGGGAGTGTGGGGTAGTAAATAGTACATTAGGATCATTGGGAGGTAACTTTTAGATCAGATAGATGAGAGTTCAATTTCTATTTTGATGCTAGCTTTAAGACACTCTGTGAGTTATTTAAACTCTCCATACTTCTCTCATATATAAAGCAGGAATTTAAAAGAGTATGCAACAAGAAAATGTTGATAATATGCAAATCTCCTAGTACCATGTTCAGTCTATATTAGTTATATATAGTTGCTGCGGATTTATTTACCTTCTATGGCTGTCACTGAAACTGAGAGCCGGCTTTATCTCTGAGGCTCGGCTCCAGCTCTGAGGCCTCGGCTGCTGAAAACAGGTATCTGGTTTGTTTGGGTTCTATAATTGTAACACTATTGCGGTCCTGCTCGCTCCAGCTCTGATGGCTGAAAGCAGGTTTCTGGGGTTTATTTACCTTCTATAATTGCAACATTGTTTCTTAGACTGCAGCTCAGAGCCCAGCAGCGGCAGGCGGGGAACCTTGGCTTCCTCCATCACTGGAGAAAGCAAGCCTCCTGTTTGCTTCAGCTGCCTGGCTGCCGGCTGCCATCTTGGTTGGCAGTTAATTTGCATATCTCACTGATTAGCCAATGAGAAGGGTAGCGAAGTTACGGTTAATTACCATGTTTCTCTATTATTAGATAGGATAGTTTTAATGTATGTATTTGTTATATAAGAAAACTGAAAGTTTAATTCTGTTAAGTCACAGAGTTCAGTGTCATACTTGTCCACAAAATTTTAATAAATGTCTCAACATTCCAATATACATATGTATTTATCCTATATTACTTCAAAAGTGGGATACATTAAATTCATAATTCTATAAAAATTAAGCTGTGGGCTCTAGAATTTTTTTATGAATACATTAGCTTCCAGTCATTGAGAAATGGGAAATGTAAAGACAGGAAGCCAGTGTGACATAGAGAATTCTAGCATAGGGAAGGGAGTGTGGGGTAGTAAATAGTACATTAGGATCATTGGGAGGTAACTTTTAGATCAGATAGATGAGAGTTCAATTTCTATTTTGATGCTATCTTTAAGACACTCTGTGAGTTATTTAAACTCTCCATACTTCTCTCATATATAAAGCAGGAATTTAAAAGAGTATGCAACAAGAAAATGTTGATAATATGCAAATCTCCTAGTACCATGCTCAGTCTATATTAGCTATATATAGTTGCTGCTGCCATTATTATTGAAGTCAAATTTTCTATAGTGCCTAAGAAACAGCCACCTGTATCAAGTGGTCTGATGCACAGAGTGAAAGGTATGGCTGCTTCATAGAGTTTCTGGTCCAATCATTTTTAGCTGTTAAAATTTCACAAAATAGACTCATTCTGAGGCCATGAAGCTTTATCTTTGAGGTTTGGTGTGCAGGAAAGTTTCCCTGTTAACACACATGAAGTGGTCATATGTGGTGCTTAGATATTTTACTGAAATAAAGTCTAGCAAGATATTAAAGAGAGTAGAATGACATGTCCTGGATGACTGGTCACAGGGAGGATAGAGAAGTTGGAAAACTATGCTAGACACATTTTTGTGCATCAGAAACTGGAAGTGCTAAAGCTGACATAAAAGCGATTGGACTATGATTCCTCATGGGACAGATACAAGCCAATACTTTCTTCATGGGTCTGTTGTTACAGAGGTAGTACAAGAACAGAAAACACAGAGCAACTGGAGGTCTGGATTCTAATCTTTGCCTAGGAGCTCACTATCTGCACAATTTAAGTTCACTTGCCCTACTTCTAGCAAATACTTGGTTTGCACCCAAAGAGTTCTAAAATCCCTTTCAAAACTAGAACTTGTTCCCTGTCTGAATTCCCTGCATTCAGAAATGACAAAAGTTCTTAATGATACACATACTCTCATGTTAAAACCCTTCTCTTTCAATCATATGAATATTTGTTCCATGGACTACATTTCAAGACTATACGTAAATATGAATATATGTTACTGGAGAGACCAGAAAGAATTTGTCTCTCTGTTTTCATAAGGTCCTTCAGTCATACTTTTGGCATGCTCTTCATTTTTTATTATTTTTAAAATATATTTCATTGATTTTTTACAAAGAGGAAGGGAGAGGAATAGAGAGTTAGAAACATCGATGAGAGAGAAACATCTATCAGCTGCCTCCTGCACACCTCCTACTGGGGATGTGCCCTCAACCAAGGTACATGCCCTTGACCGGAACCAAACCTCGGACCCTTCAGTCCACAGGCTGACACTCTATCCACTGAGCCAAACCAGTTAGGGCGACATGCTCTTTATAGTTTATTCATCTTATTATACATTTGGGGGTCTCTTTAATTTCATCCTTGGGTTGTATACACACATTATTGGTATTTTTAGAAGCACTTTATGAGAGCAAAATCTATTCCCTGTGCCCTCATCAATTTGAAATTACCATTTTAAGGCTGATTAAATAAGGATTAGTGCCAATGTTCTACTTATTAGGCTGTGTCTTCAACTGGAACTGATGATCTAGTATTTGTCAATAACTAGTTCACAGCCTTAAATTCCACAAAATGAAACCTTTGCATGAGAGTCCATCTGTCTGAAAATTTTAAGGCAAGTTTCCATGAAAGGAAAGCCATCTATTATATGATGATATAAGCGTAAAGTGGCATGTATCACAGCTGCTTGATTACTGCTGGGGAGATGACTTGCATTCCCCATAAGCCCTCTATCAAAATCCAGGAGTGATGGATTGAATTCCCCTTGCCTTAGCATGATGATTGATTACTTTAGGAAGATATATGAGAATGGTAGAAGCTAGGCAGAAATTAATTAGCATCACAATGAAAAGATCCTAGCATCAATCTTTACTATGGTATGAGATTGATCCAAGGAGTTGGTCAAATATCCACTAAACTTTCTGAAAGCATAAATGGTAAATCATTCATGTGAAGTTTTTGTTCACCAACAGTTCATTATTGTATAGCAATTGTAAAATTTAAAATTCATATTACTGCCAAATATTATATACACTCACACATGCACACCGACTAAATATGGGTAAATTAGCACAGTATATTTTTGACATATGACATACAATGTACATTTTGTGGCAATACTCTTTAGAAATGATGCTGGATAAGTGAAGGAAATAAAAGGATCAGGTGGCGGATATATTAAGAGGTAGATGAAAAAGTTGCTAGATGAGAGATCAAGCTTTGGCACCTCAACATAGCCAAGTTATGCCTCTCTCTGAGCATCAGTTTTCCCCCAGTGTAATTTTAGTCATCAGCTCTATCTACTTCTCAGGGCGGCTATGAGGATTAAATAAAATAATATACATTAAAGCTCATAGTAAACTTAAAGTACTAAATAAATTATGTGCATAAAAAGAATATGGCATTTATCATTTCTCTCATATATGATGATTAGGTGAATGAAAGAAAGCAAATCAGAGAAGAAAAAATGAAATAACACAGTCTGAATATTTATAGTATAATTCTAATTACTTCAAATGGAATAAATAGTTTAAGAAGGTATTTTCTTGCCTTAGCCAGGTGGCTCAGTTAGTTGGAGTGTCATCCCATACACCACAAGTTTGATGGTTCAGTCCCCATCTCTCTCTCTCTCCCTTCCTCTTTCTAAAATCAGTAAACATAGTCTTGGTTAAGGATGTTAAAAATTTTTTAAAAAGAAGACATTTTCTTAATCTCATCATTTTTGTAACTACACAATCAAAGAGAAAGATCAACCAAAAGGTAACTTTAAAATACTATAAATAACAGATCTGCCTTTTAAGAGTGAGCATTAAGATATTAAAGGTTGGTGGATAATTATTTTCTTGATGAGAAGAACATCCTATGAAGTTTAGTCCACTTTTCATTGTATTGATGAATTTGGAAGATCCAATTTCAAAATATGCAGGAAACTTTTAAAACATGCCTTTAAGTGTATTGCTTGAAATTCAACTGTTAGGGTGAAATGAAATAAAGTACAACCAGGTACAGATGGAAAATAGAAAGTACCAATAAAACTAAAATCATCTGCCTTGGACACAGATGATGAGCCAGTGAAAAGGGGTTAGTTACAAAGACTGCACATAACTCCTTTGTTTCCCAGGAGCAGGGGGAGGGAGGATAAGTTCAGTAACAGCAAGTGAGTTCCTGAGAGAATTATCCCAGGAGGCTGATGAACTTCTGGGGGAAGAAAGGGGGAGTCACTTAAAAACCTTTGTTTGCAAAGCTAAATAGTTGAACAAGAATCCCAAAGACCAAGGTCTCCCATATTCTGAGTCTCCCATATTCCCCTGGAGAAAAAAACTGTCAGCAGCACTGTTGGTAGAAATGCATCCTGGGAACTGAGTTTCATCATGATACAATCTCAAGGATGACAGACTTCTACTTTTTTATGCACTCAGGGTTTAAACGTAATTTTGGATCCACTATATGTCAGACATTGTGCTAGGTGCTAAGGATATAAGCATGAGAAACATTCTGTTATTGATGTTAAGAAATGTATCATCTAGTAGGGTAATTATCCATAATAATTAGAGCAACATGTTTAGTGAGATAGTAGACATTATCACCTTCTGCACAAAAAGGGTTTTTCTTAACTCTGCTTGTATAAGTCAGTACCAATAAAAAGGTGAAGTGGTGGGTATGGGGTGGAGGGGGTCACTGGGGAAAAACACACACAAAGACAACAACTGTAATACTTTCAACAATAAAGATAAATTATGAAATAATTTATTTGAAATTGAAAGAGTGAATACTTTCATGGGTCACATGCAATTTCTACTGAAGGGATAATGTAACAGCTTTGGCATGTGTGCATGTATATGCATAGCAATTGCAAGATTCAAAATATATATTACTGCCAAACATTGCATATATTCACACATGCACACAGATTTCATAGAGATAAATTGATACAGTATATTTTTGATATATGACACACAATGTACATTTCACAGCAGTAATTTTTAGAAATATATCAATCATATGACCAGCAAGCAAGCTGTAAGACCCATATTCTTTTTGAGCTTTAATGAATCAATAAATTCAAATTTCATGTAAAACAGCAAATCTTGAAAAGAGCAATGCCTCATATTTTCAGATGGTGCTCTATGATTTGTTGATTCACATGAAATGTGAAGAATACAACTTTTTTTTCAAAAATGAATGAAGATTCTTGCAATTTTTCTATTTCTCTCTCAATCAATATTCAGTTACAAAATAAAGGTTGCCTAATAGAACTTCACTGAGTAGAAAATAGTTAATTTAAAACCTTTTTGTCCTAAATTATGTTCTTATATTTCCTAAGGTAATTTGTCACAGAATTTTACAATAGTTATCAAGATAATTAAGTTCTGAAACAGGTTCTAACAGCAGGAGTGTCGGAACATAAATTAAGAGGGTTTTAAATAACCACATTTTATTTAAATCCCCAACTGTACACTCTTAAACAAATTTATCTTTGTAGCATTAACAGTCTAACATTGCTACACTTTAATGACAAATCAAAATTGGAAGCCTTTAATCATAATTGCTTTTAATTCTAAGTGGAAGTCTGAATTACAAAAGTGGCCATTGAATGGAAAAGGTGTGTGAAATTGTTTCCTGTTGACAAGGTTAATTTGACTTGCTTTGAGTTTTTTTCTGGCCCTTCTAAGATTTTTGCTGATTTTCCATCAGTTTTAAGTCATACTTCTGTGTAAATAAATTTAAATTCATAAATATAAGATGCGAGGATAACAACTAAAGAAAATAAAAATGGAAAAAATTGACACAATTAAAGAGAATATGAAGTAATATGAAAAACAGACTCGTGATAATCACTGAGGCTAACACATAATAAAATAATACAAAACATTTCAAATAGAATTTTTAAAAAATTGTATAGGGCTATGCTCTAGATCAAAAAACAAAACAAAAATTATTCAAGCACACATTAACCTGGGACTAAAGGTTTAAAAGGTTAGTATAAATTAGTCTAAATAAAAAAAAAAAAAGATCTGAAGAAGAATTGTGTTGTCCACAAATAGGATGATGTTTCATTGGGATCTGTGAGTTAATCTAAAAATTGAATTATTAAAGTAATGAAACCAAAATATTCCAACGTTTATTTATGTCTGCGATGTTACAAAACTCAGATATTCTGAAATATAATTTATAATTTTCATAAAATCTCATAATTGCAAAACATTTTTTTAAAAAACATTTTAATATAAATGCCCTTCAGATAAAGATGTTCCCCTAGTCAAAGGGAAAATATATGCATATACATTAATATAGAATGTATAGTCATATTTCAAAAATAATATTTTTAAATATTCAGTATAGAGAGACATCATTGTCACACAACTCCATCTCTCCTGTATCTCATTTGAGAGCAAATGACATACACATATACACAGGCATAGTATATTCATTACTTGTTGCCACTGAACACAAAAAGATAGGTAAATAGATAATAGAGTAGCTGGCTAGATAGAGATATATTTATGCAAATACATATATGTGTGATTTCTATGGCACTTATTTCTACTTATTTATATCTTTATATCCTCTCATTTTTGTGATCATGTCAATGGAACTGAATTCACAGTCATGTGATATGGCAAACACTGTCATTTTCTACCTAATTATTTTTTCATTCTGTTTTAGAAGTAAATTGAGTTAGATTGACCATATCAGTCTTCTGTAGATTGACCAATTCTACAGAATCAACCCCTCAAAAATCTGTTTCAATGAGTATAGCAGTGATGCAGATGGATGAAAAATTTCAAAATAATTTATATGTATTAAAAAACCACTTTGTACAATATTTGTATTTGGTTGTTGTGGTATCATAAGAATTAACAGTATTAAAAAAACACACAACTATAGAGCATATAGTGAATCACAAAGAAATTAGAAAACTGTCTTAGTTTATTATCCTAATTCTTGATTAATTTCTTCTGGATGCAGAGTTTTAAGTTTAAATTTCTAAAAATCTCAAACAGATACAAAGCATAAGCAGTATTGCTGTTATGCTCTTTGTGAACTGATAAAGTACTTCCTTTCATTAGTTGTATAGAGTTTAGTGTATGGTGTCACTCATTCACTAAATCATTGGATCATGCTACAGGCGTTTAATGGGGATTTATTCTATTTCAGGCAAGTGTCAGAGCGCGGCCAGAGCCTTGCACAAGCTCTGGTGCTCTGAGTTGTTCTGAGTCCATGTATTCTTCTGCATTCTCCCATTTGACTACTCCAGGGTTGGTTCTTGCTTGAACCCTGCCCACTGTACAACTGTTGGGAACTTAGTCCAACTTCCTCCTTCATCCTCTGCTCACTAGTAACAGGTGTGGGGTCCGAGCCCCTCTGCCTGGGGCTGGGCCTCCTAGGAAGCCGGGCCTTAGATGGAGAAGCCATGAGAGGTTGTGTGTGTATAAGAATGAGTCTATTGCAGAAGCCAGTGGCCATATAACCATCAGAGAAGACATCCTCACAGCAAAGCCCATACAGGCAGGCAGCCAGACATGGGCTGATGAACATATATCTTTCCCATAAAATAGCATCAGTCTCTGTACCCACAGCTAGTATCTGAGCAGTCATACGCTGCCTCCTAGCCTCACTGTCTCACATCGTAGCGGTATCTGAGCTCTCTGGCTCAGCAGCTTCTCCTGTCTATCCTGCCCAGCTGCTCTCTCTAGCAGACTTCCTCACACACTCCATCCTAGCTGCTCTGTCTCCATACTCCAGCTTTTACTCACGCCCACCTCAGCTGACTAGATTGGTCAGTAACCTACTTTTATACCATTTAGACAAAGAAGGCTTCGTGCCAATAGTTACATCAATCATATTGGCTACTGAAGGGCACAGTGTACTGTGTGTCCTTGCAGCCACTCATGGTATCTTGGTCTGATTAGGATTCCCCGACTCAGAGTCCTTGAATGTTCCGTTTAGGCACATGCCCAGAGCGGCCTTTGGGCATTCTGGTGTATTGATAGCAAGGCCTCTGTGCTCCCACAGCTCTTAACTATCTGAGGACCTGGTGTGGTTCCACAGCAAAGCATTGAGAAACAAGATAAAATTACCCCCTACCCTAATGGAGTTCACAGAGCTGCAGTATTTTACTTAATCCCTTAGAGCCTCTGCTTGTCCATCTGAAAATGTCTAAATTAATCTATGGTTGTCAAAATTCCTATTGTGTCTAGAATTTTTTTAAATGTGTTGGGGTGACATTGGCTAATAAGAGTATATAGGTTTCAAGTATGCAGTTCTATGCTACATTATCTGTATATTGTATTGTGTGCCCACCACCCAAAGTCAAAACTTCTTCTGTCACCATACACCCGTCCCCCTCTCCCCTTCACTAACCCACATACACTGTTCCTTCTGGTAACCACCATACTGTTGTTTGTGTCTATGAGTGTTTGTTTTTGTTTTGTTTGTTAATTTGTTGCTTTCAGTATGTCTCAAAATCTTGATTGCTGTAGAGAAACAGACTATATGTTTACATTTGAACATATAAGGATGCTTAAAAGGGCAAAAGATATTCTAAATCAGCACCTACCAAGCAATAATTTGTATTTGAAAGTAAAATAAAATAACAACAACAAAAAAACTTTATCAGCTAAGCTTTACTGTCGAGCAAGATTGCACCATGACTTAAATATTATTATTACTTTTAAGATTTTACTGATATACTTGTGAGTGAAAATATTTTATTTCATTATATTTGGAGAAATAACCAAACCTCTTTTAAATTTTCAGAATTGTCCTGAAATATTGTAAAGAAAAAAAAAAAATCATTATTTATATAGTTTCTAGGCACTTTAAACATGTATTTTTATGGTCCTGTGTTAAGTTCAGCTACTTCTTGGTCTGAGTTAAAATAAAACAATATCTGAGAGTGTCAGTTATGACCTTCCTAAAATAGTTTATAAATCTTGTGGTCATTTTTGCTGTTCTTTAAGAAATTTACTTTCACCAGACTCTTGTTCATCTAAAATCTATTGAGATTCCTCTATACTTAATTCTAATAAAATGTCCGACTGCTTACTTAATTTTTTAAAAGCATGTGATTTTCTTTAGAGAATATAATTTTGACAGAAAATAATAGTGGGGGTAAATACGGTTAGAATGCATTACAAGCTTTGCCATGGCAGTACATTGTTATGGTTAAACTCAGGAACAGGGAGAAAGAGGTAAGGAGGAACATTGTTAATGCATAAAAATGGGGGTTTTGTAGACAGGAAAAAAGTATAAAGAGCTTTGGATTCTGCACAGTGTTCCATCTCTGCTACCAGTATCTATGTGACCTTGTGTTAGATGGTTAAACACTATGAAATTACAGGATAGTACTCGGTGATCTTTAAGATCTATGCCACGTAAAAAGACTGTAATTCCAACTACAATATAATGTTATAATTCAATCCTTAAAAGATATCCAAGTCCTAATAGTGGCTTCTACACAAAATGATTGCTAACCATTGCTCTGTAACAAATACAACTTTTATAGCAAGTAATTCTAAAAGGTAGGGACTCAAAGGATAAAAGAAAATGAATAGGTTACAATGTCAAAAAAGGATCCTAAGGTAGCTAACAAATCAGGTGTCTGGCTGAAATGTAATGTGACAGGAAAGAAAGGTCAATGCTTTGTGGGCCACACAACAGCAAACCTGGAGACAATAGTTCTGCTTTGTGTACCTCAGCACTTGAAATAGGAAGTTCAACATGACTCTAAAGTGTTAGGAATGATTTGATTAGTAAAAATCCAACAAAAAGAATGGATATTTCCTTTCATATCATAGAGGTCCTCAGATATATTGATAATATCTTTGCATTCAAATATCTATGGATCTAGACATCTATCTATCTATTCTATTACTAGATGTAAACTCATTGAATGCTAGGATTTAATTTTTTTCTGAAAAATCATCAGCACCTATTCAGAAAGTTTGGCACATAATACTGTTATATATTTATGTCAAAAAACATTTTTTGAGAGATCACCCATTAAATAGACATATACCAATGCTAGCTTTCAAGTTGTCTAATTACAGGAACAGTGCTCTTTCCATTACACCTTAATGCTCTTTATTAAAATTACTAGAGGCCCGGTGCAAGAAATTTGTGCACTGGAGGAGGGCTCCCTCAGCCCAGCCTGTGCCCTCTCACAGTTCGGGACCCCTCGCTCCTTACCGCCTGCCTGCTCACTGCTCCTTACCACTTGGCTGGCAGCTCCTTAACACTGCCGTGGAGGCAGGAGAGGCTCCTGCTACCGCTGCTGCGCTCTCCAGCCGTGAGCCTGGCTTCTGGCTGAGTGGTGCTCCCCCTGTGGAAGCGCACTGACAACCAGGGGCAGCTCCTGCGTTGAGCATCTGCCCCCTGGTGGTCAACGCACATCATAGCAACTGGTCATTCTGGTCATTCCGCCGTAAAGGTCACTTAGGTTTTTATTATATAAACTAGAGGCCTGATGCATGAAATTCATGCAAGGGGCTCAGCCCTTGCAGCCAGCCCCAGCTTCGTCTGGAAGGTTGTCTGGAAGGACGTCCAGAAGATTGTTTGGCTGTCCAGTCTAATTAGAATATTATGCTTTTATTATTATAGATTATTTATGCTAATAGCATTGTGTTCCCTATGGGGAATGTTGAGTGTTTTACAATGCAATCTGCAGATAGAACTATTACTTGACACAAAATGGAGAAATAAATGTTGTCTAAAGACTTCTAAATATTATTAATTTTAGAAATCCCAGATATTTTAGCATACTGGAAGAGGCTGAGAAAGAGTGTTTATGTTTATGTGAATTTCAAGAAAGCTCCAAATTTCTGTCTCTGATTTGGTTTTGGTTTGATGGAAAGGCCTGAGTAAAGAAAGATTGAAGCCTAGTCGGAATGCTGAAATCAAACTCGGACGTAATTTGTTAAAATGCTTCTGTTAAAATGTTAATTTGGTGACTCTTTTTTAAATTAGCACAATATCAAAGGGCTAGAGAAGTCATATTTACAAATACCTACCATAACGTCAGACTTATGTCCCCTAAAATGTGTCTCCTAAGGCACCTTGGAGAACCAGGCTAGAACACCAATCTGGCTAGATCCAGGTCGCATAACCTAAAATCATATGGGGAATTATCAAAATTATGTCACAAAGAGATAACATGTAATTTTAATATTCCAACCCCCATATCTACAATGTTTAAAGTTTATGTAAAAGTTTAAACTTTCTCAGCATTAAGCATGTTTTTCAAAGTAAATAATTAAAAGATGGCTTT